TCACTTGTTTTATTACAAATACTGGAACAGTGGCAAGTGTGTGATGGTTTAAGCCAAAGGTATTACAGCTGACGAGGGTTAAACATTAAACATGCACATTACTGTTTACCAACCCCTTACTGTATCCCAAGATAAACTCTGGTTACTTATTACAAGAGGTTTTCTTTCACCGAAACACAGTCATCTATTGGTATTTCCAAACTAACGTTTTCTGACATTATCGTCTACTACTTAATTCTTGAAAAAAGGGGTTTCACCAAAAAAAAACTCCAACAATTCAAAATTATTAAATGAGAAAGAGGGGGGGAGTCAGATTTGAATATTGTTTTTTTTTTCCCGTGTTGCTTTTCTTTTAGTACCAATAAGAAAATCATTGTAACTGATGTATTGGCTTGAATTAAAGATAATAATTATGGTCCTCAACATTTTGCCTCCTTAGCAGTGAGGATTGTGTTCTTTAGGGTTTTGACATGTCATTGACATTGTCTCTGAGGTGCAGGGACACAAAGCTCTGAACAGCTGTGGGCCAAAACAAACAAACAGTTGCACATGCAGAATGCTCTAGAAGCCATTGCACTTTGAGCTGCTGTATTTGACCTGATCCTGCAACGTGCTCATTGATTTTCTGCTTTGTCATCACAACATATGTATTTCTAGAATATTCACGTTATGAGTTGTTACGGTTATTACTAGGATAATACCAATAGGAAACAGATATCTTGCAAAAATCTGTTAAAAAGAGCAACAAATATTTCCGGAGGTAGGAGCGAGAGGCTCCTTTTCTACTGAAATTGGAGTAATTTTTCCTGGTAATTAATCAGAGAGGAAGACAACACAGGCTGCTTGTAACTCAGGGATTTCTACAAGATCCACAGGTCAGAATCTTTGAGTAGTCTTTGATAAGAATTCACTTAATAATGAGTGAACCCTAGAAGAAAACCAGCTAAAAAAAGAATTAAGGCTTGGTGGGAGGTTAACCTTCCAGCAGGACAACAATCCTATCTAATCCAATAGACGAGCAAAGCTACAAAGCAATGATATAGATCAAAGAGGCCAGCCTGCCTGAGACTGAGGTGTTTTGGAAACAAGAATGGGCTAAAATTTGTCTGTTTTGGTTTGTAAAACTGGTAGAGACATACCCCTTAAACACCTGCAGCAACATTTGTCGTTCTACTTCACAAATATACAGTTTGTGTTTGTCTGTCACATGCAGTACCAAGAAAATACATTGAAATTTGCAACTGCAATATCACATATGCTGAATAAATTTGTTATAAACACTAACATCACAGAACATTAAAATACTCTGTTTGAATTTAAATGGATCTGAATTTAGAAACCAAAAGCAAGATAGGATGTTAGAAAACATTTAAAATGCAAGAGAAAAGTAATATCTGCATATCATTTAAATGGCTATGTCACTAGCAATATGCATAAGTGGCTATAAATGAGAAAAATCTGGATAATCAAATACGGGAAATTCCCATTAAGATTTGTATCCAAAGCTGTTACTGCCTGCAGAGTTTAAACCAGTTCAACATTATATTTTCTTCCAAATAAAAGCCTTCCCTCACTTCGTTTAACTTGGTCATGACTTACAAGTTAAACATTTTAGAATTCTCAACAGTATCAGAAATGGATTTCATTCAGATAACATGGTGTAGTTGAAAATATAAGACATATAGACAACTGACTATATTATACACCATTGTTAAGTATACAGTTCACATCAGTGTATTAATCTGTATTCTTAATGTTGCAGTCCAAAAGCTGATTTCCTTGTTGCTTTACATTTAAATAAACAGTGAAGCTCAGTTACATATTAGAGCAAAAAAAAAAAAAAACACAACTAACATTTTATGGGAGGGTCAGAACATTTAACAAAGAACAACAGCACCATCTTGTGATCAGAGTGACTTACATCTTCTTATACTTGCTGCTCCCATATTGATTGGAATTCTGGGACTCCTCCATCTGGTTGTAATTAGCATCTGGAGTCTAAAAAACAGCACAAAGTCAGAGAATATTGGGTTTGACAACCTGTGCTGAGTTTAAATCACAGAGGAACAACTAACTGCATCAAAAAGTGGAACCATAATGCAGGATTCCATCATGAATGAACCTACAGCTCAGCCATAAAGCAAAACAAACATGATCAAGTAGTATCATTTATGTAATGTTATTAAAAACTACACACCTTTTCTTTTCCAGTGCCGCTGTCTCTATCCCTCTCCCAGGCAGACATGTTATCACTCAGGAAAGGAGCCTCTTGTGGTAGATAGGCTCCAGGTCTTTTCTTCTGGTTGCTGCAAATGAGTCCCAAAGAACACATTTTTTATTATATATATAAAAAATATATATAAAAAAAATATATATATATATAAAATGTACAATAAAACCATTTAGGTTAGGGTCCTTCTAATCATAGTTTCTTTTTATTATCACAAATTAAAACTAAATGTAGGATCTGATATTTTTTAAACACCTTATTGGGCTGGGATCTCCTGAGTCCATGCTGAACCAGTCTGGAGGTTTGTATGCATTTTGTTTACAAGCATTTGCTTCGTCATACCACAAAAGCTCTACCAAATCAAGAAAGAGAAAAGAAAAAGTATTTAACTGTGGTATTGATAGGCCAAGATGAAACATGACTGTCATAAAAGAAACACAATATGTCTACCCTTATGGCCTCCTTGCTTCGCCAGTTTTAAATAGTCAGAATCGCTTTTCAGCACTGCAGCTCTTCTCCCACGGTTCCTCTCCTCAGGTGGAGAACCAGTGGTTCTGGACAATCCGGGGATCTGGGAGATATGTCCATCCTGTGTTACATAGCCTGTTCTGACACCTGTTTGGGTGCAACCACACACAGACACACACACACATGTAAACAGAGATACACAAATATTCTTTGTTTCTTCTATTTCTTGTTGGATTTATTGGCAGTTTGCCACAAACATTTAATACCATTATCTTCACTTACTGGTATGGAGTGTGGTTTGTGATGGACTATCTACCTAATAGACATATATATAATTTCTAAGGAAGGCAAAAAAAGAAAACAAAAAAAACTACATACTTATACATAACTTTGTATTGTACCCGTCTATATCATACACACATTCACCCTCTCAATAATCAAATTCTATGACATAATTTAGTTTTCTTTAAAAATCAAATACCGGTAACTATTTGTATAAATTTACTCCCCAAATTCTTCCTCAAAATATCTACTAAATTCATATTTTCCTTAATACATTCAAACTCTCTCCTCATATATCTTCTCTATGACATTCCAGTATAACATGTTCTGTTGTTTCATATTTTCCACAGTAACCACATTTGCCAGTAGTATGTTTTTGAACCATCTTCCTGTTTTTTCTTCATCCCACCTTTTTTTTTGCCATTTTTGCATCAGTTTTCATTTAATAATACTCTTTCACTCCGATTTATTTGTTTTAATTGTAAAACTAATACGATTTTGAATTGCCTTCTTTGCCATTCTACCTGCCCTCTCATTTCCTTCTACTTCAATATGTGCTGGAACCCACACAAATACAACAATCAAACCCATATTTTTTATTCTGAATAATGTATGAATGTATTTCTAATAGGATGACCATCCTACTATCTGACTGATTATATTTTCAACTTAATAATGCAGAGCTTGAATCTGAACGAATTACTGTTTTTAATGGTTTTATATCTTCTACCCAGAGTTAAGCTAATAATATTGCCAACATTTCCCATGTGTATACTGATAATCCATCTGAAATTCCTATTTTTATATTGAATTCTGTATAAAGTTGGATATATTGATAATATTTGTCTAAATGTAACTGTATTAAATTACTATCTACTGAGTAGATTTATCTTGTTTCTTTTCCATTAGTGACATATCTACTATTGCTTCTGGTAGAATCCATGGTGCTATATCTGATATTGGTGCCTGGGTGATTTCTAAATTGGTCATTTTAAATTCTTTTATTTTGTTTTCAACTGTCCATCCAAAACTCCTCATTACTTTCTTTTCATTTTCCGAACATGGATTTTAAATTTCCCAAGTTGGATGATCAGAGTTATTACCTTGTAGATTTAATAATTCATTTCTAGTTTGGTTCATAGTCTTTGTTTGAACTGTTTGAATAAATTAGTAGATTTAGTAAGGGAAGTAGCTCTTCAAAAATAAATAGCTATTTTTAATCCCAAAGCATAAATCCTTGTACTTACCCGATTTTCCTGGTTCAACATCGCTGCCTGAGAAAACTAAGGACGTTCTGAGGAGGAAAAAACAGCCAACAGACAAAACGGGAGACGTTAGCAGGATGCTAATCCTAGCATAAACCGGTTGGTTTAGGTAACTAGCCGTGGTTAGCCAAAACTAGCTTAGCATAAGCCTCAAAACAACACGTAAACTTTGAACGGAGTACGGAAAAGTTCGGATTTGAGCTCGGACGTGTGTCACTTACTCTGAATTCATCTTGCAGGAAAACAAAACGCTGTTGCATCCACTATGTTTGGAAGTTTGTGAACTCGTCACCATGGAAACGGGTTCCTTTGACAGCAGCTGCTGAGCTATGAACCCGAAGGGAGAACTGTTCACACTGAACCGTATCTTTTTTTCTTATCAGACACAACAGTTACAGTTCAGTTCATCTGCGACATGAAACCAACTGACAAGTGTTTTGCTCAAACATAAGCGAGAAAAAATAATAATAATAATAATAATAAAAAAAAACTTCTGCTTTAGAATAAAAAAGCTGTTATCCCCATGTATTGTTATTCTTAATTAGAAAGTCTAATAAATAAAAAAGTAAAAAAATAAATAAATAAAAAAAAAAAAAAAAAAAACCCAAAAAACGGACGCATAAAGTTTTTTTTTTTTTTTTTTTTTACAAACTGTAATAATAGTAAAAGTAATAGCTGTTACGCATTTAATGTTATTGTCATTTTTTGTTTTAATACATTTTTTTTGTTCAAAATCTTTGTGTTCTTAAAATATGCAAAGTTTATTTCTGTGTCTTTATCCGATTATTGAAATATAATTGGATGAAAGGTATATTTTCACAATATATATTTGTTAAAATCGTAAGACATGTACCGGTATGCATCTTTTCAGTTTTATAGCTCTTCATACTTTATTTTTCTTTCAACT